ACAGCTCTTAAGCACCCAAGATTTCTTCTACTTTTTTTTTTTTTTTCCTTTTCCAATATAATTATCCACGAATTTAATTTCTTTGGTTTGGTTAGTTTAAAATCAGAATTTTACCAGAAGTCTATTACAACCAACAGTTTCCAGATGTTACACAAGCCACTTCTTTTTCCAGCATTCTAAAAATAGAATCTAACAAGTCCCTGCCTATGCTCTCCCTCCTGGTTCCAATTCCAAATTCCATTTTGAGTACGAAGAAAATACAAACATATACGTTTCACAGCTAGCAAACATGTACGTTAATTAATTCACTTTCTGGCCTTTAATATATATTACATAAATTTCATTGTTCATACATTCTTAATGTTTCATTTTATTCTTATAAGAATATATTTTTGTACACATGTTCTTCATTGTTTAATTGTTTTTACAAAGTTTGCATTGTGTTAACCCTCTGGCTACTCATCCCGCGATTTCCACGGGCAACTCAAATGTAGCAAAATCTGCTCCTCCCGCGATTTCCGCGGGCATGTGTTTTAATTCTTTTATTGAGGAGCACATATCGTTTTTTCCCCGTTTAACACCTGAAATAAATTATATACAGTTTTGGCCAACAGATATCATTAGTTGTCCACTAAATTGCGGCATTTGAAGGCACATGGTATTACCACTCAAACTCCACTTTTTGCCCTTTTTTCTTACAGAAATAGCTGCTAGAAAACATTCAGTGATTATCTTGATTATTTAATTAAATTATTGAATTATTAATTTGATTTACTGAATCTGGTGCAAAGACTGTGAAGTTGGACTTTGCCTTGAACCCTCTTTTGAACTCTATCATACTAAACTGCATTTCTAAGGTATTTTTCCTCAGTGCTTTATATTTTCTTTATTTATTTTACTTTTTTATATTATGCAATAAATAGAAATTAACTGTAATTCGACTCATTTATTTTTAAAAAAAAGTTTTTGGTGATAACATCTGAAATTGGTTTTTCTGGCAACTTAGTTTCTCAAGATAAAAATCTATATAAAAAATATTTTCTACAAAGGAAAAATACATTTTTCAATTTTCCAATATATACAGTACAAAGTCTGTTATCCGGCCTCGTCGGGACTTCGGCGATTCCGGATTAGGGGTTTTCCCGGATTATAGATCATCCAATTTAAATCTGCTAAGATGGCATGCAGAAATTATAAAATTAAAAACATGAACCCGTAATTTATGAAATAAAGAGCAATTATGATCTAAAGGGTATCAAAATTTACAAAAAAAAAAAAAAAAAAAAAAAAAAAAAAAAAGCTTAATATTTATTTGTTTACTTTAGTAAACAATTATATCAATGTAAGTTGTTTAAGTTGCTTCATTTTTTGTGCTAATACTTTCTCTTTAATTCTATAAACAGACATAATTTCTTGTTCAGTTACAAAGTTCCACTGTTCAAGTTCTGTAATTGCTGTGTCGAAAATAACGACTAACTTGTCAATCGAAATTTTTTCGTTTTCAATAACGTTCTCTGTTACTTTCTTCACTATCGGAAGTGCGCTTGGTTAATTTGCTTTACTGGCTTTACGCGCATGCGTAGTGGAGACATGCATGAGTAAGTCTGTGGCTTTGAGGTCCGGATTATAGATCATTCTGGATAATGGACGTACAGATTAGAGACTTTGCACTGTATAGATTTGAAATATGAAAAAAAAAAAAAAGAAGAAGCACAATTTTTTAAGCAATTTTGGTCCACAAACTGAGTAGTCAGAGGGTTAATATGATCAAAGACAAAAGTGTCAGGGAATAATTTTTTTCAAGCAAGAAAATAAAACTCGCTCTTATAAGAATTATGCATTCCGATTTGAAGATTGAATTTAAAGCTTGACAGTAATGTAAACAGTAATGTAACCGCCAATTCCTGGCTTATTTTTAGTTAACAATTTGAATAACTTAAACTCAACATTACTAAAAAGCTTTCTTGTCAAGATTCTTACTTGAGAAAAAGACGTTTGCATTTATTGATTATTGTCAATTGATCAGAAGTTAGATTGTTCCCCTTGAAAAGTCCACTAATTTCTAGGCAATGATGATATTTACTTAGTTTGTTGGTTGCATTTTCACTTTTAATTATACCTTTTCAATAATTCCATTTTAAACATGCTAATGAATAAATTCATTCAACAGAATTCTAACTACTTTTTTCAAAGGAGATAATATATTAAATAATCTACTAGGAGATAGATATATATATATATATATATCCTACTAGGAAATACATATATATACAGTAAGACCCCGCTTAACGCGGGGGATACGTTCCATCGAAGTAGAGCGTAATGCGAAACAGCGCTAAGCGAGGCTATCTTAACATGTAAATAATGGGGTTAGGGAAAGAACGGATAAAAAATGGTTAGGCATTAGATTTAATAATGTTTTTTTTAATAAAAATAAAATCAAACATTTATTTCTTACAAAAAATAAAAAACAATATAAACGCATATACTTTTAAAAAAAACAATAAAATTCTCAGTCAGATCATTCAGTCTATTCTGGGTTTCCAATTTTCTGCCTTTTTGTCAAGAAGGCATTATGATAGATTGGCTTAATGGCATATTGCGTTCAATTTCGTCGTCAATCCATATAGACAGTCATTTTCCCATTTCCTCTATAATGTTTCTAGAACGGGTAATTCTAGTTGCAGAGCTTGATGTAGTTGCAGTTGCCGATGACAGTATTTTTTCTTTATTCTTAAGAATTGTCCTTATTGTTGAAGTTGCCAAAATCAATGCAGCACTAATTTGAGATTGACGTTTACCAGAATCTAATCTTCTAATCACTTGCATTTGAGTTTCCAGTGAAATGCGTTTTCTGGTTGCTTTCTTTCTTGTTTTTTATTATCACCCATGATAAAAAACTAAAGATCATAATATTTGTCACTGTATTAATCGTTATAGTATTATACAAATTTAAACTTACAATAATGTCAACAAATGTTTCAAATGATAAAAATGCGTCCGTACAAAGCAACCAAACAAGGAACACAACTACACTGTTTCGGATATGTTATTTGGAAACCTAGCGCTGTGCACAATTTCGGAGAATCCCCGTAGTGCTGCGAGCAATTTTGGGAACCCCGGCTTGAAATAAAAGAGCGCTAAACCGAAACAGCACTAAACGAAACAGCGTTTAAGCGGGGGTCTTACTGTATATACATCTAATTACAAAACAATTCTTTTGAAAACAAAATATAAACATGCCTAGTATTTTCGCACATTAAACTAAATTAAAGAAAAATTATCATTAAAGACATAAAGTAAGAAATTTAGAACTATTATTTCACAAAGACCAAAAATTGAAATTCATAATTAAGAAATTTCAAATAATCTTATAAATGCAAATGAGTTTTTGTTTATTTGAAAAGTTTTGGTTTTAACATTTGTTGAATTCTTTGTTGCATTTTTGTTAAGTTTCAATTTTTGGTCTTTGTGAAATATTACTTCTAAATTTTTACTTTATGTCTTTAATTATATGTATATATATATATATATATATATATATATGTACATACACATAGATAGATATTTATACAGAACATGTGTTCTCTTCTATTTGCTACTTCATTCATAAATTGCTTACCATATCTCACCTACTCATTACATGAAATGCTATGACAGATATACCAAACTATACTCTGGAGTTATATATCTTCATTTGAATGATTTCATGAAGAGGGAATTCCATACCATCATATTAGCCATAGTTTTACATTACGTTCTCCTACCAACACAGTTTTATACAGGCAAGGGCAAGCCCCCCCCCCAAGTGCCTGAACATGTGACTGAGTTCATCTAACTAATTTATACAGAAATAATTACTTGATTAAGGAATGCATATGACAACTAGCTGCTTAACCAAGTGGCAAGGCCATATATATAAGGCCTTGAATATTTTTTGTGATTATCTGTAAGAAAGTTTATATACATGCATATTAAAATATGTCAAAGAAATTAAGCCAATGTATCAAAAGAAACCAAATCCAGGTGTGAAATACCAGGAGAGTTTTTACAATAAAATCAAAAAAAATTATTTGTTTTCATAGTAGTTTTGGGAAATTTGTGCTTTCTTAGCCTTCCCTGTCCGCTCAGAGGGTTAAAGTCTCAGCTTCGTGTAATTAAAATATATATATATATATATTTTAGTCTTAGGTTTTTATAATTTCATTTTTTTAATGAATTTTGTATTTTTCTGTATATGCAAGCCAAAAGCTATTCAAACATCAAATCTGTATTTTAAGCATGCATAGCAGGCATTCCAGGCAGAGTTCTCTTTATCCTTCCCAAAAAAGTTCAAGTTGTTTTTGCTTTTTGAAATGTGAATTTTTTTATTTTTATTTTTTTTCTAAGTTTGGTGATTATCATTATTAGAACAATTTTAAGATGATTTCATTTTAAAAAGTTTGATAATGTGATTTGACCATTTTAAGATGATTATTTTTTCAATACCTTTATGTTATCCTTAAAACAGTGACAAAATGCTAAAATCATTTTTTAATAACATTAAAATAAATTTTTGTTTCTCTATCCACGTCTTCAAATGTCTTCATCTTTAATTTTGTCAATTTTTGAATACCTTGATTCTGGAATTTAAACAAAATAATGACTGTTATATAGCCAAAATTTCATAAATTTTTTTTTCAGAAAAATCAGATTTAGAGTAAATAATGCTAAAAATAATTTAACTTGTGTAATTTTATGTGTTTTTTTGGGGGGGGGATAAGCATTACTTTGCAGTGCTGAAAACTTTTCAGATATGTGTCAGTTTTCTGTATAAAATTAATTTTATGCTCTCTCTCTAGGCTTTTTTTCCCCCACAAATTCACAGATTCCCCCACACACAAAGTTACTAGCTATGCAATTCTGACAAAGACAACTCAGAATATAGAACATGTATAAACATAAAACATATGACAAAAAATCATTACAAATAGAATATGTCATGCTGAAAACAGGCTTACGAATTTCAAGCTCATTGAGCTTAGTCAGTAAGGCCTTTTTTGCAAGCTGAAGCTGTCTATTTTCAGGATCATCCACATCTTTCCTTAACCATTTGTACGGACTTTCATTTTTCTGCTCCTCTGTCAAACCTTTAGGAGAAGTATACAGCCTAAAAACAAAGTTAGAAATATGAAAAAAGGGATAAAAATAATAAACAAGAGCTATATTTAAGAAATTTTCAGTAAGAAATAAAGGACAGCTAAAAAAAAGTTCTTCAATTAAATGTCACTTTCAGAACATGAAAATCGAGCATTCTCGTAACTTCTGGAGGATAAATCTGGTAACATGCTCTTGTGATATAAATACCTGGGTAGAGTATGTATCAAGGAATTCAAAACAATTTTCAACATAAACTTCAGAATTTCTCAATGAAATGATAATTTCCATGAAGAAAATCAATATAAGACACTGGAAGGAAAAATTATGGAGATCTCGGTTTTTCAATTGTGGGATGATGATATGGCGAAAATGGAGCAAGATGGGTGGTGCCAGCACACTGAGTGGCTTAGATGAGTGAGTGAGTGAGTGAGTGATTATGGCGTAAAACCAGAGATGATTATGACGCGCCAAACACATGGTGGGATGATTACAATTGATGTCATTAAAATTCAATAAATAAAAACAAGTAGACAAATGTATCAAATCCAGAGGATGAAGTCATATAAACACAAGTTAAAAGCACATATTAAAATTCAAGACACAGTCTTCAAAATAAATTACATTAGGTAATAAAAGCCAATCTCTTTTAAATAATAAAATAAATTACAATTGACCTCTCTTCCGATTAAACGGTCGAGAGGTAAGTCACAGCTATTAAAATATTTCTGGCGAAGATTCTTAAAACATGGACACTCAATTAAAATATGACGAACAGATAAACAAACATTACAATTAAAACAAACAGGCTCATTTTCACCTTTGAGAAGATAGTTATGTGTGACTCTAGTGTGACCAATTCTGAGGCGAGTCAAAAGAACGTCCTCCTTAGGATTTTGAGCAAAATCCCAATGTTCAATTCTAGGCTTGACGTTTCTCAACTTGTTGTGATGCTGAACATCCCAAATTTGCTGCCATTTTTTCCGCATCTTCCCCTTGATTACACAGCAGATGTCTCTAAAAGGAATAAGGCGAGTGGACGGTTCAACAGCATATTTGGCTGCGATGTCTGCAAGCTCATTTCCCTTTATTCCTGCATGTCCAGGGACCCAGCAGTACAGGACTTCATATCCTCGAATTGTTAAATTTCTATGAATTTTGAGAACATCCACTACCACAGGATTCTGCGTGTTGGGGAAAGCTTCCAAGGATTTAAGAGCACTATACGAGTCTGTATAAACTATGAACTTTTTGTGGCAGAGCTTTGAGATGTACAAAAGACCGTAATATATTGCAGTTAGTTCAGATGTTAGGACTGAGAAAGCATGGTGCAGGCATCGGCCCTCAATGTAATCTTGAAATACAAAAGCCATCCCGACATGATCATTTGACTTTGATCCATCTGTGTATATCGGATGATAACTGCTATATTTCTGCCTGTGCTCAGCAAAGAGTTGTCTGTAAACGATCTTGTTAGTGCTCGCCTTCACGTGATGTTTGAAAACATCAAGAAGCTGAATCCGTGCATTTTCCCAAGGTGGAATTTCAAAGTTCTGTACTGCTTGGGGGCACATATCAGAGAGGGAAAGTTCCTCAATGACAGGGCGAACTCTTAAAGGAAAAGTAGGAACACAGGATGGACGTGTTTCATATAATGTGTTACACTCATTATCGAGTAAGCACAGCTTATTGGGATGTTCAGGTTGGGATAGAATATTAAAATATTGCAAAAGGGACAATTGCTCACGCCTCAGATAAAGTGATGGTTCGTTAGAGTCAACATATAGGCTCTGTACAGGAGAAGTCCTGAAAGCTCCTGAACAAATCCGCAGACCTTGATGGTGAACAGGATCCAGTTTTAACAAAACAGATGACCGAGCAGATCCATAAACAACTGAGCCATAGTCCAGTCTAGAGCGGATAAGCGCTCTGTAAATGCGAAGCATAGAGCAACGCTCTGCACCCCAGGAGGTGTTCGCCAACACTTTTAAAATATTTAGTGTTTTTAGACACTTCTTTCTCAGGTTTAAAACATGAGAAAGGAAGGTCAATTTTCGGTCGAACGTCACTCCTAAAAATTTTACTTCGGGCGCAACTGGAATAATTGTACCATTCAGATATAACTCAGGTTCAGGATGGAGACCTCGCTTCCTACAAAAGTGCACGCACACAGTTTTCTGTTTCGAAAAAGTAAATCCCTGTTTGTCTGACCATTCTTGGATCTTATTCAGAGCCATCTGCAATTGCCTCTCTATGTATCTCATGTCTGCTCCTCGACAGCTAATCTGTAAATCATCTACATATAGTGATCCCAAGATGGTGGGAGGAAGTTCTTTTAGTACAGAATTTATTTTTAAAGTAAACAGGGTTACACTGAGCACACAGCCTTGAGGCACACCCTCTTCCTGTTGAAAAACATCCGAAAAAACAGAGCCAATCCTTACTTGAAAAGTTCTAGCGTTCAAGAAATTCTGAATGAAAATTGGTAGGTTGCCGCGCAAGCCACTCTCGTGAAGATCGCGAAGTATACCGTATCTCCATGCCTTATCATAAGCTTTTTCAATGTCGAAGAAAATTGAGACAAGGTGATTTCTTCTTACAAAAGCTTTTTGAATGGATGTCTCTAAGAGGAGCATGTTATCTACGGTTGTTCTTCCCTTTCGAAAACCGCTTTGATAAGGCGATATAATATTATTCTTTTCCAAGAAGTAGACTAGGCGGCTGTTTACCATCTTTTCAAACAGTTTGCAGAGGCAACTCGTAAGGGCAATTGGCCGATAGTTGGAGGGATTCCTTGGATCTTTCCCTGGCTTAGCAATAGGAATGACAACAGCTCTCCTCCATGCACTGGGAAAGGTATGCTCCTTCCACACCCTATTGTAAAGAGTGAGAAGGGCATTCAGTGACTTATAGGACAGATGCTTTAGCATTTCGTAATTCACGCCATCAAGACCCGGAGAAGACCTATGTGTCTGCAATAAAGCTCTCTTTAATTCCACCATAGTAAATGGTCTATTGTAAGGCTCAGATTTGGAAGAGTTGAATGCGATGGGATTTATTTCAGAGTGCTGCTTCATAGAGAGAAATGCAGGTGTATAGTTTCTGCTGGAAGAAACGGCAGCAAATGTCTCACCAATAGTATTCGCAATTTCTTCTATGGAGCTAATCACTCGGCCATCTTTTTCCAAAAAGGAAAGTGAGTGGTCTTTATATATGCCGCATGCTTTTCGAACTCTTTCCCAAACCCGCTTACTAGGCGTGGAGGATGTTATTGACGACACATATGAAATCCAGGAATCCCTCTGGCTCTGCCTTCTTACTTTTCGTGCATTTGCTTTGGCTCTTTTAAAGGCTATGAGGTTTCGCAGAGTAGGATATCATACCCCATGCTTTTTTCTGTTTTTTCAGTGCTTCATGACAGTCGCGATTCCACCATGGTTTTGAATATTTTAGTAGTGTTCCTGATGTTCTAGGAATGGAGAGCATAGCTGCCTGAATAATAGTATTAGTAACAGCTTCAACAGCGTCATCGATATGCCCGTCTTCTACCATTTGATCTCTGAGCTCTGCAATGGAAGAGAAGAGTTCCCAGTCTGCCCTGTCCAGTATAAACCGAGGGAGTCTCGTCATGGTATTTGCTCCTCTTCGTGCAAGAGACACAAAAATGGGATAATGATCACTGTTGTAAAGATCTTTTCCCACATTAAAAGTGCAAAAAGGCAACAGAGATGGTGAACAGATGGCAAGGTCGAGAGCATGGAATGTCTTTGAAGGCTCATGGAAGTAAGTATCTTGCCCATTATTGAGGAGACAAAGGCTATGATCTTCGATCATCTGCTCAATTTGTCTTCCTCGGCAATTTGTATCTTTACTACCCCAGAGCGGACTATGGCCGTTAAAATCTCCTATTATGATGAAAGGCTCAGGCAGCTGCTCTAAAAGACCATTTAAATCTTGCTGATCAATATGCTCATTTGGAGGCAAATACAGAGAAACGACTGTAACAACAATATCAAAATTTGTTTGAGTAGCGACAACTTGGAGGGGTGTCGTCAAAGGAAAGGAACTTGAGGGGTAGTCCAATGAGGTGAGGAGACCTGTACCTCCACTGGCACGCTCACCTGCAAGGTTATCCTTCCTGACGAAAGAAAACCTCCGAAGTTTTGCTTGTTGTTCCGGTTTTAGATTTGTTTCCTGTATTGCGAAGCATACAGGTTCATCAACATTGATTATAGCTTTGATGTCGAGCAGATTTCAGTGGAAACCGCGACAGTTCCATGATACGAGAGTGGCCATTATGAATAGTTTTTGTTCTTTCTGTGCTCTTGTTTGGTTTTTCGTGGAAGTAGATGCTTGGGAACTTCCAGACCCTCTTCTACTTCCATACCGTCTGAATCCGCAGATTCAGAAACCATTCGATCAAGAGAGCTATTGCTGGAACTTCTATTTTTATTTGTTTCTTTTCGTGTGGTAGTTTTGGGTTTGCTTTGAATTACTATTTCTTTATTTTGTACTGTATGGGTTGGGTTTTCTTTCTTTGTTGTTTTTGTAGTCTGTTGAGTTTTGTTTGGTGGCATCTGCATACTAACTGATGTTTGGGTAGCAACTGTGCGAGATCTTTTAAGAGCATTGGCGTAAGATATATTTGGTCGTAGCTGTGTGCTTTGGACTAATCTTCTGGCTTCGGCATATGAGATGTTCCTCGTAACCTTTGCAGTCTGCACTTCTTTTTCCAATTTCCATTTTGGGCAGAGGCGTGAAAATGCTGGGTGCTCACCCTTGCAATTTATACAAAGAGGCGCAGCGGTACAATTTTCAGAATCGTGGCCAATCTGTGAGCATCTGGCGCATGTGAGGCTGCCACGACAAGACGTCTTAGAATGGCCGAAACGCTGGCATTTGAAGCATCGCATAGGGTTCGGAATATAAGGTCTTACAGGACAGTTTAAATATCCCTATATATAAAAATAATATTCTTAGGCAGATCAGGCGTGTTGAAGGTAAGGATCACGT